TCAGAGAAAATTAAACACAGGGAAGGATGAACAATGGTCTTAATAGTTCATTAAATTCCCAGCTTCAGTGAACAAGTGAAGCACCTTCAGAGAGCTGCTCCTCAGGCCTGGGTTGGCCTCTGGTTGAGGCTGTGGATCCTCCAGCAAGGGCAGTACCGGCACCAGCTCCCAGTGAACCTCTGTGAAAAGCTTCTCTTCTGCCCCTGGTATCTGCTGTCCTTGCCCTTCAGGGGGTGGCACTTTCCAAACCTGAGCCTCTGCTTCATCCTGATGAGAAATGCAACTTCCATAGAAGCAGTTTAGCTCCCGAGGAATAAGACAGGGAAGGTGGCTCTTGCCCACCTGACCTGGCACGGAGCACGGAGGGAAAACCTGGAGTCAATTTGACAGTTATCCCTCCTCTCCCCCTGCTGCAAGTCACCCTCTTCACCAGATCCATCACAGTACTTAAGCACAAGCTTAACCTCTAAGGATTGTGCCTGAGTTTAGGCTCTGCACGGATTTAATTCTCATTATCATCCGCTCAGCTCCCACACTGCGCTGCCAGGGGCACATGAGCACAGCTGATCCAAGGAAGCACCGAGAGGTGCCGAGGGTGGACAAGGGTGGTCTGCTGTGCCATCTTCTGGGGTGAGAACTGCCCCACAGCTGACCATGGCAGGCTGAGAATCCCCTGCAGTGCTGGTGGGATGGGCCCAGTCAGGGAGACAGGTTCAGGCATGGTTCTGTACAAGGAAACTCATTCCTCTTCCCTCCTCCCTGCGCTCTCTAGACAAGCACAGAAATGCCATTACAAGAACATTAGCAGCTGCAGGATTAAACACTCTAATGGTAGAAAATGAGAGTGTAAAGACAGCACAGATAACCTTAACTCGGCCCCTCACAGGCACGAGTTTTGATTGCTGTTTATGTATAACACTTCAGCCTGAAGCTAAATTAGCTTGGGAGTTAACTGCCTCCTGCCCTGCTTGGAGCACGAGGCAAGCTGTGCCACCACAGGAAAAGGAATCCTATATTACATGGGTTTTGACCAAGTTATTAAACTCCATACCTTGGAGAGACAGAACCTCATCTTATAAAAGTCTAAGTCAATAAAGGCACTGGGATCCTCCAACAGCGAAAATAGCAGAAGTGCACAAGAACAAACAAATATTACTTGATGTGCACAAAACCTGCATGATATTAAATTGAACTATAGGAGGAAATGGCTGTTTTCATAAACACAAATACACCCTCGCCAAGGTTGGTCATCTCCTGATTTACATGCTCAGCTCTGCAACCTCCAAATCCCCTTAACAGGTTGCCTTAGAAAAAAATGGCTCTGTTTAAAAATTACTTTCATCTGTCTCCTGCCCACAACATCCCTGTCCTACCCAGACAGGAGCACCATCTGTGGCTCTGGTGACAAACCGGCCCATTTGGAAGATGATGGAAACCTTTTTTTTTTCCCCCTCTCCTGCCAATTTCCAGAAAAGACCCTTCGCTACCACATTTCATCTGGTCCTTACAAGCCCCTGCCTATTGCTTTGGGGGTGCCACCAATTGTGGATGCAAAGAGAGAATTTTGATGAAGAAGTGCCTGATTTGTAGATGGGGAAAAAAATTTCAACACATTTGCACCTGCTAATCAAGGTAGCTATCCATCTCATTTATGCCACTGCTCCAGCAAGCCTGACAGCACAAAATCAGAGGCTGTTTCTTCCAGCATTTGGCCCTGAGGGACCGATTCTCCAGCAGGTCTCTTCAGTGATGCCCACAGAATGTGCAAGTGAATCAGTTTTGTGCATACAAAGCAGGTAATTGTGCTCACAAATCAGGATTTGCATATGCTGCTGCAAAGAGACGCTCTTATCAACGCTCCCGGTGCTGGTAAGGGAGGTCAGAGAAGAAGCACTCCTGGATTGTACCCAGAGGTATCCCAGTGTGTGGTACAAGCAGTGGCACTGGTAATGCTCCCCACATCTGTCCAAAATATGGAGAGTGCAGACAGCAAGTCCCAAAAGACAACAAACCTTTGCTGTTCTCGTCTCAAGCAGCACAGGCAGCACCTGCCAAGAGGATGGGGTGTTTTGGCTGAACCTCCCCAGCCGAGGAGCACGTCCTGCCCCCAGGAGGGACCTGCCTCATCCAGGGCTGGCCATGGCCACCCTGTCACGTCTGCAGGGAAGAGACCCCCAGCAGCATCCACTCGTTTCTGTATTTGCAGTCCTGTCAGACCAACCAGCCCGGCCGCTTCCAAGGCAGAAGGGACGAGGAAGACGACATTTGGCTCATGTGCAGATGTCAGTGCTGCCTCCGAAACGCTCTGATGAGCTTTGCAACACAGGTTTGAAATTTGTCAGGGGGGCAGCAATCACTTAATTAAAGACTGAGTCACACGACAGAGATGTGAGGGAAGGCAAATTAAGGTCAGGCAAGCAAAATGGATCTTGGCATTTCCTAGTGTTTCAGAGCTTCTGTTTTCGCTGGGGATTATTCTTCGCACTGAAGGAGTACTTGGTGTCACGAGTCAGAACGTGGTACGGACAGATCCCGTCTAACACTCCAACCCAAAAGAGGTGGTGGGAAAGGTGAGAGTTTCAGTCTCACCAGACAGAGCATATGTGACCTGAAGCTCTCTGTCCAAATGTGGGACAGGAACCAGTGGCACTTCCACCAAGGATGGGTCCTACCCACAGAGGTCTGTCTACACCTTGGAGTAAGGAAGCTTTGGGACCACACTGGATCTCCAGGCTGGATCCACACTGCCATGGAGAGTGGCTCCAAGGGTAAAGTTGAAGTCAGATTAGCTGTAAACGTGCTGGAAGACCTCAACCCTGGCTCTTCTGCTCTTCACAGGGGAGGCTTTCATCCTCTAGACAGGACAAACCTCAGTCCATCCTTCCCATGGGTGCTATGCCCAGCCCAAGAAGACAGAGGACAGGGGAAACCCCAGCACCCATCTCTTGGGATACTCAGAGAGAGGATAAAATCCCTGACCCGAAAAGGTTGAAATTCAGGCAGGATTTATGTCCCACAGTAAAACCACAAGGCTGCCTCTCTCATGGTGATAAAAATAAATCACCCTTAAAAATAGAATGACATCAATAAAAATGAATCTAAAAGCACACGCAGTGTATCACAGGGTTACAGTCTGCCCCCAGTCTGCTGTGGAAACTTCTCACCAGTTAAAGGCTGGTCAACAGTGATGAACTTCTGTGGTGCCTGGGGCTACATCCTGGGGCAGGGTGTCAAACAGGTACTTCCGAAGGCCTAATTTTAAGTGGGGGGTTGCTCAGGTCTCGTGAAGTTTGGACCTCTTAAGGGAGCCTTAGATTTAGGCTATGAAGATCAGCAGCCCCATCAGCCAGTCCTGCTCGATCTGTGCGGATCCAACTAGCACAGACAGGAGAAAGATTCTGTTTTAGCCACGTGAAAACTCCCAGACTGGAGAGAGGGGGAAGAAACCCATTGGCAGATTTCAGGTGAGGGACCTGAAGGCTGAGCTCAAGGCTGCTCTGCCCTCACCACAGGTAAGCAGGGGGGATGGGTACCAGGGCTGGGAGCCGCAGAGCAGCTGGCGAGCTTCAGATCCAGGACAGTGCCTGAGTAGAGCGATTCCCAGGCTAAAGAGCATCGCTGCCTTCCCTGCAAACAGGATCTGACACATCCTGCTCAAGCGTGGGGCGTCCAGCAAGAGCGACGAGCTGCTCCGGGAGCTGGGGACGCAGCGGGAGCAGCAGCTGGGCCGGCACGGGAGAACAGCCGCTCCTCACAGCAGAGGCCATGCAAGGATTAAACCAGCCCTGCTCAGTGCCAAGGAGGGCCTGGGGCTGCAGAGTGCAGCCACGGGGCTCTTCCAACAGGGGAGTCACGGTCTGGCTCCATACGGTCTCCCCGTGGTTGCTGCTGGAGGCAGAGTTTTTCTCTCCTCCTCGGAGCCAGGGGACAGCTGAATGCATCTTCCCCCTCCCGCTGAGGTGGCTGCGTCTTGCCAATGTCTGAAACAATCCTTCTGCTCTGTGACATCTGGATGAGAACAGCCTCCTCCTGCACGGTCTCCATCTGCTGGGGTGGCTGCTGTCACCTCCCAGCCCTCCTTGGGACTGTAGGTGATGCCCAAGGCTGTCTACACAGGGAATTCTCCGGCGTCATCGTTCTGCTGCAGCCATGCCTGCCAGTGCCTCTGTGCAGACAAGCCTTGAGGAACAGGGATACTAAGAAGACAACATTGTCTTGACCAGGAAAATGAGTTCATGAGACCAAGTTCCACGTTTGCATCTCAGCTGAGCAGGGGGGGATGAGAACAGGGTCACCCCTGTCATTCCATGGGGCACTCATGACTCTGAAGGACTTCTAATTCTGTCTTAATGCTGGTCTGTGGCAGTGGGAGGCTTAGGAAAAGCCTGCTCCACTGTGAGCCATCCTTCAGACCCCCTGGCAGAACCAGACACCAACATCCTTAGCTGCAGCCACGAATCTCATACACAAACATGAAGTGAAGAAGCTCATTGCTAAGAGATGAGGGAAGCAGCTCACATGGAGAGTCAGAGCTAACCTGGGGTGTCACCTCTGCAAAGAGACGGGGGCTTGGGTGCTCTTTAGATGCTGAGCAAGCCAGGAGCAACAGGGCCACTTTTCTCCACAGCACCAAGAAGGCATCCTGTGAGACTGGTGACCCACTGGTGAGCAAGAGCAGTGCTGGCTGTTGCACAGGGCACAGCACACCCCACAGCAAAACAGCACAACTTTGAAGCAGATAAACTCCACACGTCTGCAGCTGCCACACCAAAGAACTCGTAGATCCACCTTTTCAAATCCCCATTTTGTGCCCATCTTCTTTACATTTTGCTGATGGGGGTCACCACTGTGTGACCCTGCTGGTACCACTCAATCCTCTGTGCCTACCACCAGGCTAAAGCAGAGGTGAGCACAGAGGGCATTAAAACACCCAGAGACAAACCTTCTCCCTCGCATCTCCAAGCTTTCCAAGGTCTTCACTGTTCCCCGGCCTCCCTTACCTGTGTCTTGGTCACAGAGCTGCTCACAGGCATCAGTGGTCCTCTGTCCACAGAGGTCTCTCACCCAGGGGGACGTGGCATTGATCTGATAGTACAGGGACAGCTTGGCTGGATTAAGCCAGTCGGAGATGTCCAAGTAGCTCCCCTCACTCACAACGAAGCTGCTGCCTGGAGAGAGGGAAAAAAGTGTGTTAGGTGAGTGTAAAACGCCAAACATGCATTTTGGCCCAGTATCAGAACACTCTACAGCAGGTGCTGTGACAGCAAGATCAGCAAATAATGAGTTCATCAACTGCTGGACCCGAAGAACTTCATTTGACCATTCCTCTCCAGAGGAATGTGCCACAGCTAATGGTCCACCAACTCCTCTGCCCAGATGTTTCCCTACCCTTACACTACTGGAATTTGATTCCCATGTCTCTGTAGAAATGTGGACTGATGCAATTATTCTGATCCATAAGACTGGAGCATCCAGCTCATGGAAACAGCGCCCACGAAGCACCTGGATGCTCAGGGCATAGATGGGCAGCAGCAGCACGGGCTGTTCCCACTTCTCTTCTTTAGCTGAAGGTGAGTGAATTGGCCTGACACACATCTTCTTGTACCAGACACCCCCTCACCCTTTCTTTCCTGAGAGTTAAAAGTGAATTCTTGCCAAAAATCTTTTCTTACAAAATCTTACGCTTCTTTATTTTGCAAAATGTATTTTTCCCCACCAGCATCTGGGAATATGCATCATCTAATTAGCCAAATAGATTTTCAGTTCAGCCCAATCATTTCCTTATCTAACATCTGAGGCCCAGCATCGCTTGGGGGATTTTGCAGGCACAGAGGTCCTCATTAACTCTGATCTTCAATTACATTGATTATAAGACTGCCTCCATAGCAGTGCTGCACAGATCAGAGGGGAGCCAAAAAAACTCTGCCATTAAGTGGTGTTTTGCAAAACTTACCAGGGTAAAAGCCTCTAAAAACAGGGGAGAAGAAACCCGCAAGGAGGAGTGGGCAAGGGGAACTGCCAGATAGCCCAGGAACCCACAGACACCTTTCCACTACGTGTGAGGACTGGCAACAGCAGCAAAATTTGTGACCACTGTCTGAAGATTCAAATCCTTCTCAGTGATTACCCAAGGACAGCAAGTTTATAGATCCAGGGTCTACCTTCACAAAACTTTAGGGCTTAGGCCACTTGGTAAAGGACTGGGACAACATTTTTATAAACACCACATAAGATCTTACCTTGTTGAAAGCCAAGAGATTAAAAGAGCAGGACAATAAGCCCACAGCAGTGACCACCCCACATGAACCTGCTTGAACACAAAATCTGAATCTCCTTTTGAAGAGACTCCCTGATGCTTCAGCAAGAAGGAGCCCTTCTCACCCTCATCCTGCACCACGTTATGCGTGCAAAGGATAAAACAAGCAAAGCCTCAAGTCAAGCATCTCAGCGAGTGACCTCATTTTCAGGCATCCCCAGATCTCAGCACCACACAAATCCGAGCCCTAATTTCACATGAATGCAAGTCTTCACCACTCATAGTGTTTATATACCATAAACATATTCACAGACACATCCCCGCACTCAAAGCCAACGGAGGCTGCCAAGCTACTGACTGTTCAAGCAAAGGAAAATTAGACATCCAGGATCCAGCTGCTCTGGAGACACTGCAAGGCAGGGGCTGCCCCGCCAAGGCTGCAGGATACATCTCAATCAGACAATGGCAGCAGTAAATCGCTGGGTAAACCCCCCAGCACCACTGGAAAGGAGCAAAACACCGAGCACAAAGAAGTATCTTAGAGCCACGTGGTTTTATGTCTAATTATTCTTTTCCGTGAATTTTTTAAAGATAGCTTTGAATGCCAATAATAGCAATTGCTGGTTTCTTTTACCAAACAGAAGTGCAACACGAACCCTCTGGGAGTGTTTACTATTTACGTGTACGTGCCTGTGTAGCAGCCTGTCAATCTTGTTTTCGTCCTTATTTTTGCAGCTCTCTAATAAAGAGCGAGGCTTGGGAAGCACGTACGCCTTGTTTGGAGACTCAGCTACAGACAACTCCCTCTGCACCCAAAGACTGAAGAGCGAAACCACCAGCTCTTGATTAAATCCCTACTTAATGAACCCCACTTCCAGTTAGAACACAGCCAGCCTGCAAGGAACAGAAGCAAACCAGACATAAAGCAGTCACATCATTAGTATTCAGAAGGATGAAGGTGAGTGGAGCTGGCAGAGCATCTTGGCCCAGGAACTGCAGGGCCCTAAGGTCAGGTGGGTGATAGAGGAGTCACCTCCAGAGCTCCCCACCACAGAATCATTTAGGTTGGAAAAGACCTCTTTGTTCATCGAATCCAATCATTCCTCCAGCACTGCCAAGGCCACCACTAGACCATGTCCCCAGGTGCCATATTCACACGGTTTTTAAATCCCTCCTGGGATGGTGACTCCACCAACTGCCCTGGGCACCCTTTCTGTGAAGAAATTTTTCCCAGTATCCAACCCAAACCTCCCCTGGTGCAACTTGAGGCCATTTCCTCCCATCCTATTGCTTGTTGCTTGGGAGCAGAGCCTGACCCCCACCTGGCTACAACCTCTCTTTGGGCAGTTGAAGAGAGCAAGAAGGTCCTCCCTGAGCCTCCTTTTCTCCAGGCTGGGCTCCCCCAGCTCCCTCAGCTGCTCCTCATCACACTTGTGCTCCAGACCCTTCACCAGCTCTGTTGCCTTTCTCTGGACACACCAGCCCCACACTCTGAGCTGCTCCAGGAGGAGGAAGCAAATTCATGGCCCTGCACCTAAATTTTCACTTCCTTTGGAAAACCCAGCCTATTTGCTGATGGCAGTATAAAAAAACCCCAACAACTATCAATTCATGAAAGTGCTTCCTAAATCCACACCAAAATGTGACACCTGGCCAGGAGCAAATAACTTCTCTTTCAGCACGAGTTTGGTGTCCATGTAAAACCACAAATTTGGGAAGCTTGAAATGATTTACAAACTGATAAAGCTTTGCAACATTCTCTACATCGCAAGATCCACCCAAATGTAATGGAACTGTAACTTACACAAGGGAAGTGCTGGTATTTTGAAGATTAATTACTCATTTTTATTTTAATAAGTCTGATTGAGAAATAATCCTCACTATCAGTTTTCTGGGTTTTTGTTTTGTTGTTTTTTTTTTTTTTTTACAGAAATTAAAACGTTTGAATCCAAAATTCCTGAATTCGGGCTCAGTGTAAAATGGAGGGGGTTCTACCTCAGCCTAAAAAAAACCCCAAACCTGGGGAAATCAAAGGTTTTAGTTAATTGTAAACACTTTCCTTCCTTCCTTTGCAGGAGGAGGGAGGGGACAACTTCCAGAAAGGAAACTTCTCACATCTCTGAAGCTGAGTGTGTGGCAGCTCAGCTGGGTAAGGTTTTGAGACAGACACTCTAATCACCTTTGCTCTCACTGAAAACACAAACAAACAAACATCCCAATCTTGATCCCTTTATAGCTTGCCTAGGAAATAAGTAACAGCAAAAGACATTCTACAAATATTTTGAAAGCTGAAATTCTGACTATTTCAAAGCCTTTTCACACAATTTTTCTCTTTATTTTCAAAGAATCCGCACAGAGAAAACAGTTTTCAAAAGTCACCATTGCACACAAATCAAAACCACCTCAGAAAGGGCAGGTTGAGTAACAAATCCTTTTAGAATCTACTGAGAACAAACATTTTCTAAGGGAGAGCTGTTTCAAAATCACCTTTAGCTTGCCAGGAACATCAGCAGGGTTTGTTTTCCCCAATACACAGTCTCTGGATGGAGGGAAATGATGGAGGAGGGAATGGGATGATGGGTGACTCGAGGGGGTCATACTTCTGGGGCAGTGGGTAGTAGACCCTGCTCCAAAGTACCCTCTGAAAACCCTTCTTGAGGACCTCAGACCCTACTAAACCACCCCCATGCCCAGTTTGAAGCACATCTACAGCCACTGCCTGCAGTTCCCGGAGCAGATTCCGGCACAGAAACCCTCTGAAGACATCCAGAGAGACCATCCACACTGCTGTCCTCTGCTGCCAACCTTGTCCCCCCCCCCCAGGTGTCCTCCTAGACACAAGTTTCGAGCTTCCCATTCACTTAAAAGCTTGATGAGATCCTCCTTAAACCAGAGACATTTAGGTCCCAGGGTAAAGCAACCATCGACCACACCAGGGAATACAGCAATAAAATGACAACTCTCCACCCACCACCACCTCCTTGATCCCAGAAATCCCACTGTAGGACATATCCACTAAGAACCATTGGCTTTATGAGCCAGTCTATGCCACAGAGCTGCGTTGCAGTGTATGGAGAACATCAGCACACAGCTACAACCCCCTCACAACTCCAGGATGTCCACAAGCACCTCGGGGCATTGATTTGTTTGGGTTTCTCTATGCATGTGTTTTCCCCCCCACCACCCCCTTCCTTCTCCAGCACTGATCAAAGCTGGTCCAGTTAAGGCAGCATCAGAAGTTCCTGTTGCTCATGCTGGGGTCTCCTTCAAAGTTCAGGGGAACTGCTTAAGCCACGACAAAAGAGGCTTGAAGTTTCGACATTTCAAAAATCATTTTCCAGAACACAACAGGATGAAACAGCTCAGAAGAGACATCTAACAAGGGAAAAGAACAAAGCACCCAAAAGCAGCCAAAAGGGTTTGGCTTCTCCTTTCTCTTTCTTTTCAAGGGAAAAGATCAAAACGTAATTTTTTTTGAAGAATGTCTATTTATGCCTCTCTCTGCTCTTTTTGTCATCTTTGGTCCATTCGCTGTTTCTTGGCCAACAAAACTCCTTTTCATCTAAAATTAGTATTGTGTTGGGAAGCTATGGGAGGTCATACTACAGGTTGCTATTAATGTATCCATCCCTATACTATCATACAATTCTAATCCTATTACAGATATTTTTTAAACACTAGAGGAAGAATTATCACTCTTGCTTCATTCTACAGGTACAAAGAATAACCCTATTTGATTTCTTTAGAGACTTCTTTTTTTTTTTTAACTTGTGAAACATGAAAGAACATTGCCCAAAGAGACAACTCCTCCCCTATCTGCTCTTTCCCTTGATCAGCTCTCCCTCTCCTGTCCTGGTCCCAGGGAATGAAAACTTCTGCTTCTTAAATTTCTTTCAGAAAATGCAGAAGATC